GAGACTTTTCTAAAATTCTGTTTTCACTTTGTCATTATGGGATATTGAGTGTAGATTAATGAGGAAAAAAATGAATTTGAATGATTGTAGTATCAGGCTGCAAAACAACAAAACTGAAAAATGTGAACGGGGTCTGAATACTTTCCAAAGGCACTGTATGTCCTTTCAAATTTACATCCCAGTCTCATATGCAGAGGTAGAGGTAGAGTTAGCATCACATCATAACACATTGCAGACACCCATGATTCTAACCTAACTGACTTATGCCTGAAAGTCTTCTGTTAAGTGAAACTAAATGTTGAATAGGGGGCCAAATGTCTGGAGAGCTGTGATTTATTGCTAAGGCTTGCTGTAAAACCTGACAGATCATCGCAGAACCAGATTCTATGCGCATCTGATTGCTGTAAGAGTTTAAATGTCTCATATGAACCCCAAACAAATTAAGAATGCAATAAATGAATGACATTATGTAATAAGATATACAATGAAATCCTTTACATGTTTACACAGAAGTAGCACCTTATAAGTAAAATGTAACTAATAAATGAACACAGAACTGCAACTAGGACTCTATGGTAAACTGCTGTTTTAATTAACTTTATAATTCAATAATGTACATTAAAATATTGTTTACTTTTTCTAGATACTAATTGCAGTTTTTAGACTTGGCCTGGGAATACACATCATGATGCAGGGAAAAGGGGACAACCTTGCCAGCTTAGGGTCATGCCATGTTTTGCATGGCATAACAATCCACATTTTAAAAAAGGGAGAGAGTCTTAGGGATGTATCCTGAGAGCTGAGAGATATATATGATAGCATTCTTCAAATACCTGAAAGGATGTCACAATGAAACTAGTTTTCTTTCATTCCAGAATGCAGGATATGGAATAAAGGATTTAAATTACAGGAAGGCAGATTCCAATTAAATGTCAGAAAAAAACTTCCTAAGAGTAAGAGCAGTACAACAGCACAATAAATTGCACAGAGTGGACCTGAACTCTCCTTTGTTAGATGCGTTTAAGCAGAAGGCAGATACACATCTAAGAGGGATACTTTACATTCTTGTACTGAGTTGACTCAATGACTTGTATGGTTCAGTTTATGACTTCATGATTCCACAAATATTATGGAGTGGAAAGGCTGCCAGAAACATCTGTAAAACTTAAAGCACCAGTTTTGCTTCTCAATCTCCTCCAAATACAAAGAAGGCCCACATTTTGATCAAACTCGTGAGTGTGTGAGGCTCTGGAATCACAAAAGGGATGTTGATAAGTTACCCAGCTGCCAGGCTGCACATTTTTTGCATCCCATCATAATTCATGGCTTGTTTTAAACATGGCTTGCTGAGTAAGCCATAACTGAGTTGGGTTCACAAATAACATTATTGATATGCTATACATCACTGATGAATAATTTTTGGTGGCAGGGATTATTACACTTAGCATTTGGGAAACCAATGATCTTTATACGTATACAGCCAAATGAATATTATATGTAAAGTTTTCATTGCATCTATGTGAAAATGCAGAAGAATAGCTTATCTATAATCCTTACTTCATTATACTGACCATTTTTCTTAATATTTTTAAAAAGTTATTTTTAAATTAGTTTGCAACTTCCAAAAACATTTTGAAATATTAAGTACAACTGAAATGTTAGAGAGCATGCATTTCACCCCCTTATCAATAACAATATTCCCTAATATTCTCTTTTTCACTTCAATTTTCAATCAAGATATTAAATACTACTTGCAATTTTTAGTTTATGCAGAATTAGAATGATCAGCCAAAACTGTTCAGTACATTAATTATTTTAACTGAAAGATACTTGCCAGTGTGTTATATAAGCTGATATCACCTTCTAAGCCACTTTGTCTATGTTCAAATTTTACTATAGGCACTTTGGCTGTTGTTATAGGCAGAATGTTTCTTAAACCTGCAATGGTAAGGTAATATTTCTTAAAACTAAGAATGTTAAATATTATTTAAAACTAAACAAAATATATAAATGCAAATATTATTCAAAATGCAGTATCCTATACTTACCTGGATGTTTCTTAAGAACTTTTGCCAAGCTTTCAATAATTTCCTTGCAATTTAATTTCTACAGAAAATGAATAAAAGCTCTGTATTACTCCTTACAAAGTGTTGCAAATACTTCCAAGAACAAAGGTATGCAAATGTATTTTCAAAAGAACTACCTCTGCATTTTCATAGCCTTCTAGAGTCATGCAGATATCCAAGTCACTATCACGGAATCCAAATCCATTCTTTGAAGAGCCAAACAGGCACAGCCTGGCCTTGTCTGAGCAAAACAACAGTCAGAGATGCCCATAATGGAGAAAACTTTTTCACAGCCAACAGAATTCATACTCTTATAATCCCAATGTAACCTACAGTGGCCATTTACGAGCAGTTTGCTTTTTCTAGTGGCCCGATGCATGCTTTAACATTCATAAATATTTGATTATACTGAAACACATAATGCTTTCTTAATTAATCACGTGCATAAAATAATACCTGTGAAATACCTCAAAATAATTTTAGTCTACAATGTTTAGGGATGAAATAAATGCATTTAAAATAAAAAATACACGTGCAATTGAGCCTGGAAAAGTATGATTGTTTTTATCTAGTTACTTTTCAAGTTATACTAATGTACACGTGCAGTGACCTATTGCAGTGCTAATCAGAAAGTTTTTCACTTTTTAAAATCTCATTAATTACTGCTGCTTGTTATCAACTTCTGTTTTATTCCAGTTTGAAAACACAGAGCTTTTAGAATATTTTCTTAAAGGATGTGGAATGCCCAACATGTTCTTGGCGCTTGTTATCTAAAATATTACCTCAGTAATGTTAAAGAGAAATGTTAAAGTATAGGGCATTAAGGTGCTATTAGACAGATAGACAGGTAGACATAGAGACACCTTAATGCTTTAGAATTACGTGATTTTGATACTGTGTTGTCAATGCAACATATTTTTCTAAGAAGACAACCTTGGACTACATCCAACATGGTGCAAACTCATTTTCTTCTCATGCCACAAAAATATCCTTTCCTTTGTCCCACCCTCCACAATCCACTTTAAATCTACTCCAAAGCATCTTCCAATCCTTAGGAGCAAAGTCCATTTCACTGGAAGTTGAACAGAATTGGATATAACTAATTTAATATTAATGCATTAGACCCAGGCTTCACTAAACTTTTTAAAAGTCCACTGAAATCAGTGGAAATTATGGTACTCATTATTAATATGACTAAATCTAAATATAATTTTATTTATTTAATATTTGCGGTAAATCACCTTAGAATCCCTGCTAAGATGGAAACATACCTTAACATAAAATTTTCAAAAGACTGCTTATATGACTATAACATATGCTTTTGTTTACATAAAGATTTATTATATACCATTATATTCTTTCCGAATGAATCTTTCCAAACTTGCCAGAATCTGCTCTCGATTTTGTTGTTCTGAGAAAGGAGGTGACAATTCATCTAAACAAATAAAAATTAATTGAGGCATTTGGCAGTATCTAACAGTCAAGCTAAGTATCTTTCAGTTAATTATTTTACTTATCCTTTCATTAGCTCCTATAATTCACTACAGCTATCTGGTGGTATCATTTTACATTTAGAGTATAACTATGGTATCTATGAACTTACGTACCCTTGACATTTTGATACACATTATTGTCAAATGCATGACAAAGTCCAAACTATCATGTTTACCTTAATGTGAATTCGAACACAGGAGCGTGTGCTATTGTTAGCAGTACATAAATATATTTCTATTGAGTTAAGCAGGGAAAATCTCAAAATAATGTGAACCTCTGCAAAAATTACAACCTATTCAAAAAAGCAAAAGCACTTACCAAAGCACCTTTTACATACAAGATCGAGTATTTCTCTAAATCTATTTGTCATTGGTGGTAGTGGGTTTAAATCAATTTTCTTAAAATCTTCTGGACAATCACTTTTGGAATGGCCATCCCTTTTGCAGATACTGCATACTATAGTTGGAGGCTATGGCAAAAACAAAACAATAGTATTTTATATTTAAAGCTGTTATTTCTCTAAATGATATGTATATGTGTCAATTTGTATGTATGATAGTGTAAATGTATCTTTGTATAGTTTAGTAAGAAAATGAAAATTAAATAAATGAAGAAATAATTTAATAAAATACATCTTAAAGGACTTTTGTTTTCATTTTACCTTTCCAGAAGTCAAAATAAATTTATCGAACACATAATGCATGTCTTCTGTGGTGACTTCATCTCTAATGTCTTGAATTTCCTCTACTGCTTTGCAATTGTGCGAGGTAGCTGATATGCTAGTGCCTGAGCACATGCTATTTGTTGGATATTCCGTTACTGCATCCAGTCTTTCAGTGTCAGATAATTCACTAACAGAATCTGCATCAAAGGATTTATGTTCATTAAAAACACAACAGTGGCTTAGTTCTTCTTCAGCTGAAAGCTCTTGATCATCCTTTCTTTTAAGTGATTTTTGTTCTAATTCACAGCATTCATTAGTAATAAGAGATACAGTTTCCTCTCTATCTCCAGAGTCCGTGTTTATACTTTCTGAGTTTACTAACAAGCTTTTAAGTTTCTCAGTACATCTCCTAGTCATAGATTCCATTTCACTACATTCATTAAACTTACAGTCCTGCAAATTACATCCATGACCTGGTTTATGTTTCCCTGTAATATTGGCCTGCTGTGGAAGGCAACAGTTGATTACAGGTTCTCCAGTTCTTTTGCTACCAATTTTTCCCTTTTCCTTTTTCTTAGTATCTGGTTTGGGCTTAGTCTCATCTTTATTCTGGGGACATGCAAAGTATTTATATGCTGTCCTGAACCTCTCCAGGATGTATTCAAACACCATCTGGCTGTTCAGACTCCGTGCAACATTTCTTTTTAGTGCAAAAGGATCTAAAAAAAAAAGGAAACAAAATAAATTTGATATTGCTTTTCAATTAGGAATTTCAAATATGACATCAATATATTGCATATTAAATAGGCCTGTAACATTTTAATTGGCTAACTGGTGAAAACATTTTAACCTACTAAGAAATTGCCTTCAAGTAATCAGCAGATTAGGGGGACGCTGAAAGTTGCCGGCCAGAAATGGCTGACACTTCGGCGGTTCAAGTCCAGCCTTCGCGCTAAACAGGGTGAGCTCCTGTTTCCTCCCCAGT